ACACCTGCAACTTTGAGTTGCTTTGCAACCGTCGGATTTACTTGCGTCGTCACAGGGCCTGCCCATGAATGTTGCTGTTGCTTGCATCCCTGAGCAGCCACTGCACTCGACCTGCTAGGTCGAGAGCTGACTCCAAGGGAGCGGCGATGGTACGACCCAGAGATGAAAGTGGGTTTAGGGTTGAGAGTTTCGGGGTTCAGGGGTGTGTTGACGGCTGCCTCGAACAGGCGGCAACGTTGAACTATTTCGAGTTTGTCAGCGAGCTGGTTGGACGACAGCGGCACGATGCGGAGATCTCAGGGCACAACCGAAAATTGTAGTTCCAGGGCCGTTGCCTTGCATGTAGGGAGTCAGGCAATCGTAACTTCTAGCGGATTCTAGCGGCAGCGCCCGCAAGGTGTGGCTTTACCAGTATGACGTCTGCGCAGGGCTGGCTGCTGGAGTGGCCCCAAAAGAGGAGCCACTTTCGACAGTCAGTGGTAGTGTTGGGGGGGAGTACCTTTGTCCGTCGTAGAAGCCGTGCCGGTTTCCTGAGCGGGAGTGAAACACACAGATTCACTCAGGTTCTCAGAAGTGTTTCGAGTTTCCCCGTGAAGCTCTGCCAACTGATGGCAATTCATAAGCCCCGAATCCCGCACGCCCTTCTTCCCTGAGTTTGCCTTGGGCGTTCCCGAGCATCTTTTGCTATTTCCCGGGACTGAAACGCATTCTCGATGTGCGGCCAGAGCTCTGCGCTCATGAAATTCAACAGCACGGCGGAGTTGGGGAGAGACGCTTGCAAGCAGCACCAGAGCTGTCTCTTGAGGTTTACGAAAATCGGGGACCCCCAAGATAGACCCCCAAATAGTAGGATCGCCTTATAATAAGGACCCCAAAACAGAGCACCTCTATTTTCGGAAACCCCATATGGGAGTCCTGGCAGGCCGCCTTGCTGCAGTCTGTGGAGGGCGTCTCGCCTTCGCCTCAGAGATCTGCAGGGTTCGAGGAGCCGAGCCTTCCGGGGGCCAGCCCAACCTGAGCTTGCCACCATGTAGGCACACGTCCGTGGTCGTCTATGGCAAGGAGTACTGGTCCGGCAGACCTGATTCCCATCCTCCCTTCCCTGAAACTTGGGTGCCATGTGTGCTCTAGCGGCAGGTATGGCGGGCAATGCTTCGAGAGCAGACTGCAGACCAGCCCTTTCGGGGAGCCAGCAAAGAGGACGTACCTGGGAGCCCGGGCCTTGGCGTGGGGATCATGGGGGTTGTTGTGAAAGAGGGGCCGTTTCTCCAAACAGTCTGCTGCCGTAAAGCTTCCAGCTCCCCATGAGGGGGCCCGAATACTGTTTTCAGGCGTAAAAGGAAGCTTGGGACTCTCCATGCGGGGCTTGGCTTAGCTTTTGTGCTGGGTGACTTCCTCCGCCTGGCTTTGTCAGCTCAGCAGGAGGCTTGTCTGATCTTGCGTCACAGTGTCAGCCAAGTTAAACCTCATTCTTTTGAAAGAGCCTCTCTAACGTACTGTAATAAGGACATGCTGCGGGAATCTGCGGGACCTCTGCAGGCTTGCTTTTAGGAGTCGCATGTCGCATCTCTTGGAATCCTACAGCGCTGAATCCAAATCGACGCTGTCACTCAACTCACCCAAGCTATAAACAACGGCCTCAGGGTTTAGAAAGGCTTCGTGTGCAGGGTTTATAAAGTTTCAGGGTCATAGTAGGGTTCAGGGTGATACTGGTAGCTAGGGACGGAGCGCCTTCGGGCGCGCCATGTCAACCAACCTCCGCCGCAGCGACCGCATGCGTCGGGTGGTGGTCCAGCTGCTTTCCGGACTGGGCTTGATTGCCCTGCACCTTGGCATTTCGGGTTACGTTGGTACCTGGGGGCTGAAGAAGGTTTTTTTTTCAGGCCACAGGGCCCCTCTAGAAGCGATGCTCAAGGGGGGGAGGTTCAGGGTTCCAGGCATGTCGGAGGTCCCGGTAGGTGGACTGAAACGGGGCAGGGGTCTGGTTTACTGTAGGCAGGGTTGAGAGCTTTTTTTCTTTGGGGGGGCTCTTGTTTATGGAGACGGCGCCTCTAAGAGGCCGTGCGAGTAACAACAATTTCTGGGGCTCGGGGTGGGGGGTTGGGGGGGGGGGTAATCACGTGACTTGGGACTGCACACCTGCAACTCCAAAGCCTGAACCCCTAATCCCCAAAGACCTAAACCCTTGCTGCTTAATTCGGGGTTTATAAGCAAAACGTGCCCGCGCCTAGGCGAGAGCGCAATTTCAAGCAAAAAATGTGTCCGAAACTTCAAAACAAGACCCCCTAGAAAAAAACACAACAAACAAACGATCCTTAAACCCAAAAGAATAGTCCAAGCAGTGCGAACCCAAATCCTGAAACCTGAACCCTAAACTTTGAACCTTGAACCCTGAAGAAGAATCAACTTGAAGCCACTTTCAGGATCCAGTGCACAAGTCTGTTGGGTTACAACCAAAGCACAATTCCAGAAAATCATGCCTGCGCTGTGGCGAGAGCACTATTTCGAACCTGAACTGCCGGAGCCATAACTCAGAAAAAACTTCCCGAGCCGAAAATCGCCATTTGAAAGTTCAACATGGGGAATGAGCAAAACGTACCCGCGCCTAGGCGAGAGCGCAAATTCGAGCAAAAGACGCGTCCAAAACTTCAAAAAAAAGGGACCCCCTGGAAAAAAACAACAAAAAAAACGATCAGGCTTCGAGCGAAAATGCATTTTTCCAAAAAAATGACCTAACCCTTCAGTGTTTTCGAGCCCTGCAAATGCTGCGGTGATCACGAAAATGTGTGTTTTACTTGGGTTTTCAGCCCCCGACGCGAAAAATGTAAACACAGAATGTGTTCAGTCACACGGCCTCTTACGGGCGCCGCCACCTTGTTTATGGATGGACTTTGGGTGGCTACTGTCGGACCCCTGCACGCACACACGCGCGCACACGCAAACGCACATACGCTCACACGCACGGACACATGCGAACACGCGTGAACACGTGCACAGGCGCACGCAATCAATCCCGCACGTGCACGCGCGCAGACGTGCGCGCACAGAAATCGAGAAGGGTTCCAGGCTGGCAAGATCAAAGCTCCCTCGGCCGTGCGCGAGCGTGTCGAAACAACAGCAACCTAAACCCCAAACAGACCAAATAAATAGCCTGAACAGACCGAAGAAACCTAAATAACCTAAGCAACCCGAAACTCGAGACCCGAAACCGATTCAGGCTCGTGGTGGTTCTCGGGTCCGCATCGACCCATTACGGCTATCGCGTGCCGTGCGATGGGGGTGACAGTGACTCCCAAGCCCTCTTCGACTACATGACTCTTGTTCCGGTTTAAGGTGGCTATTTTTTGACCGGGTTTAGATGAACATCTTGTTTGGGAAGGCGTTCAGGTTTGTTCAGTATTGTTCAGTCACTTGAGGCTTTAGGGCCGAAGTTGGGCCAAGGTTGGCAGCCACGGGCCTTGATTGCTAGAGTGCATTTTGCCCTTGCGCACAGCCTTGACCCTGCATCTTTGCGGCCTGTGCCTGTCCAGTGTAGTCGCAACCAAGCGGATGAGGTCCTTCTATGCTTGCTCCGAGCTACTGCCGAGCCCAGTAAAGGCTGGGGTTGTTGGAATGAGGAAATTTGGGGTCTAAGGTTCTCTTATGGGATTGCAGAGGGTACCTAAAAAGAGAAGTCAGCCGGGGGAAGCTCCTTTGCAAACGAGGCTGAACCCTGCACCCCTAACCGAAAGCCTCTGCTGTTGCAGAGAGTGCTTGCAGATATGCCCGTTGTCTCTCTACACCCTATACCCTATACCCTAAACCCTAAACCCTCAACCCTAACCCTTAAACCCGCTCCTAACGACACCCCCCTCCTCGCAGCTTTGTGCCTGGAGGCAGTCCTCTTGCTTCTCTGGCTGGGGCTCCTGATCGGCCTCCTGGTGGGGGCCTGAGGCTACAGGGCCCCGAAATCCCCCCTGTCCGGATTGGCTACAAGGGTGTACGCGCTCGGCCCAGCACGGGCTCCAACAAAAGGATTAGGAACAGATGGCTGCACAGGCTTGCTTGTGGCTTCAGTCTGCCTGTCTTTTGTGTTCTCGGGCGTTCCTGTGGGCCATGTGGACAAGGAAGTGGTATGCATGGAGCATGATTGTTGATGCAGGGGATGAGGAGATGATCGCCCGCATACAAGTGCTGAAGCATACGTTTGTACTTGGTTTCGGATCGGATTTGGTCTGGTTAAGGGTTCTTGAGGATATGGCTTGAAGCTCGATTACCTTATTTCGTGCTGAGCATAACCTGAGCGAATAACGGAACATGCTCGCTGTCGCGTGCGTCATTAGAGTGACACAGAGAAGCCCTTACTTTTTTATTTTGTCAGTGTGTGTGTGTGTGTGTTTTTTTTTTTGGGGGGGGTAGGGGGTAAGTTTAGAAGTTTAGGGTGCACGAACTTCAGGGGAGCGGTTGCCTTCTTACAGAGGCCCTGGTGTCCGCTGGGAGCGTGCACCCGTACATCCCGTGCCCGTGCGGTAAAGGTCTGACCTATTGGGGAACCCTTACATACCCCGTACACACCCATCACATATGCGCCTTATATGCCCCTGTATATATATATATATATATATATATATATGGTGCAGCGTCGCTGCCCCCCCCCCCCACCCCCCCCCCCCCCCCCCCACCCCCCCCCCCACCCCCCCCCCACCCCCCCCCCCCCACCCCCCCCCCACCCCCCCCCACCCCATGGTACCCCCCCCATGCTCCCCCCCCCCCCCCCTCCCCGCCCCCCCCCTGTGGTTTGGGCCCCCCTGTGGGGTGGTGTGATTGGGGTTTGGGTTTGTTTAGGGTTTAGGGTTTAGGGTTAAGGGTTGAGGGTTGAGGGTTTAGGGTTTAGGGTTTTAGGGTTTAGGGTTTAGGGTTTAGGGTTTAGGGTCCCCGCCCCGCCCCCCTGTGGTTTGGGCCCCCCTGTGGGGTGCTGTGGTTGGGGTTTGGGTTGAGGGTTGAGGGTTTAGGGTTTAGGGTTTAGGGTTTAGGGGTTTACGGGTTTACGGGTTTAGGGGTTTTTGGGTTTTGCGTTTAGGGTTTAGGGTTTAGAGTTTAGGGTTTCGGGTTTAGGGTTTAGCGGGGGTAGGGGGGGGGGGGGGGTGGGGGGGACCATGGGGGGGGGGGGTGGGGGGGGGGGGGGGTAACCGACACGGGACACGGAACCATATATACCCCGTATACCCCTACCCTGCATATACCCCTTCCTGTACCCCCATAAGCTCTGACCCCACTGGAGCCTTTGAGCAAAGAGGCGAGCACTGCGGACGACTACTTTGTGCCTCAGCTTGAAGCCCTCTCCCACTGCCTGGGCCTTCAGGACTCATTTGCAGGGTTTGGGGTTTAGGGTTTAGGGTTTAGGGTTAAGGGCTTCAGGACTCATTTGCAGGGTTTTGGCTTTGGGGTCACAAGCGTCCTAGTTCGTGTCAATGGTGGCACTGTTATGCGATCAAAGGGTGTTTCCCTTGCTTGGACAAGCTCGGGGCCTTGGGCCTTCGGAAGAATCGTTGCGACGTTTCTTAGGGCAAAAGTTCCTTGTGAACCCCCCTCAGTTGAAAGGCATCGTTTTGGAGACAGGAGTGCCTAGTGGCAGTTGAGCTGCAGATGCTTGTGTGTGTGTGTGTACCTCCCGGGCTTCCGAAGAGGAGGATGTGGCTGGTGTCACCCTGCTTGCGTTGGGCAACGGCATGCCTGATGTGATGACGGCCTGTAGCTCCATCAACAAGGCCAGGCGCTTCTGGTGTGGTGTTGTCCGCAAGTTTTGCACCCGGACTCGGGTTTCAACTGAGGGTTCCGGGTTCAGCATCTTGGGGTTTTTCTTGGCTGGGTCCTGGAGCCGGGCTGCAGAGACTTGAGGCGAATGACCTGCCGCTGACAATGGGTGAGTTCCTGGGCGCCGCGAACTTCATTGTCATCTTCGTTCTGGCCTGCATCTTGCTTGTGACTGTGTCCCCCTTGGGAATTTATTTTCTATCTTTGTCTATAAAAAGCCCAAGAGGATATTCAACGTACTATTTTTATTAAGGTTCTATAAGGGGAGTATAGGTGAATCCGGGGCCGACCGAAGTGGACGGCTGGCCCTTCCTGCGCGACTCGATTGCGTGCTTGCTCGTCGTGGTGTTCATGGTCGTGATCACCTGGGACAACCACATTACCCTGGCTGAGACTTTGTGGGAACTGCACTTATGAAGCCCCCTAAGCCCCCTAAGCCCCTGAGTAGGTTTTAAGTAGATGTGTACTTTGTGGTGCTTTACTGTAACTTTAGATCCCTAGCCTTTTTGGGTTTATTGGGGTTTCCTAGTAAGGCAGCTAGAAATAAGTGCAGCCAAGGAAAGCATGTCCTTCTTTTGGGTTTATGCTGGGTACATTGCTCTGGTCCTCCTGCCTGGACGCCTGTGTTTCCGAACGGCACATGCCCGGGCCCTTGAGTCCGAGGTGGAGCTCGTCCTTGAACAAGCACAGATGGGGTCAAGCAGCTTCCCTGCAGAATGCGTTCGTTAATAGTCTGAGATCTTTTCCTGGTTGGCGCTTTGCACGAATGGCAAGGCACTGCCTCAGCAGCGTCGATAGAGTTGGAGCGGCTCGCATTTCGGGGCTCACATGCGTAACAACAACTAAAGCCAGTCGAAGGCGAAGGCCGCAACAGATGAAGCAGGGTCTTTGAAACTGGGCGCAGAATGCCAGGACAGCTGTGAACCAAATGGCCACACAGGAGGTTCTTTGTTGTGTTCTTTGTTGTGCCAAGATCCATATGATTGTTTTTGGGACTCAAATCTTCGAAGTCGAAGGAACTGCTGGCTCGTGTAAGTCCAGCACGTAGGGGGGACGCAGTGACTTCTCTAAGTAGCAACACACAGACGACCGCCCTCGTTACACCTGCAGTTGCCACGCATGCTGCTTGCCTTTCGCATCACAGGCAGCTGGGCCGACGATGAGCCTACGAGCCCAACGGATGGAAGCTTCCTTCCCCTGGCCTCCGAGTCGGAGGCCGAAGACTTCGAGGAGGGGAAGCTGGTCGTGCCGGGCTTGCAGATGTACCCAAGGCAGACCACCCTGGGCCTCTTCTTGGCCACCTTGGAGCTGCCCTTCACTTTGGCCCGGAGCCTCTGCATCCCCTCGGCCACCTGGAGCCAGAAGGAGCGGCTGTTGGCGGCGGCCTGCCCTGCTTGTGGTGTGCTCTTCATGTTCCTCTCTTACGGTGGCTGGGGGGCCTTCCAGGCCTCCAGTGGCATCCCAGACTGGGCGCTGGCTTTGGCGGCGGGTTCCTTGGCCAGCCTGGCCGTGCTCTGCGCCTCAAGCCCAGGACACCCGCCAGCCTGGCACCTGATGCTCCTGCTTTGGGCCGTCGCCACGGCCGTCAGCTGGTTCTTGGGCTCGGAAGCAAAGTGTGTCCAAGAAGGAGTGAAGTTACCGTTCTTTTTGCTCCGCGGAGCCACCACCAGCAACAGCCAAGGTTTAACTTGCTGGCCAACGAGTGCGTGGCAGTACTGGAGGCCTTCGGCCTGAATCTGGGGATCTCCTCCTCGGTGCTGGGCATCACGGTGCTTGCCTGGGGCAACTCTGTGGGCGACCTCGCCCCTGGGCTGCCCTTATCCGCTCTTGATCAAGCATGTCCTCGGTGCTTTGCGTGTGCTGTCAACACGTGGAGTTCCAGGGCACTTCTAACCCCAACTAGAACTGCACTGATGAAGCCCCCTAAGCCCCCTAAGTAGGCTCTAAGTAGACTTATAACTGAACTATAACTGCACTTATGAATCCCCTTATACGCCCCCTAAGTAGGCTCTAAACCCTAAACCCTAAACCCTAAACCCTAAACCCTCAACCCTCAACCCTCAACCCTCAACCCTCAACCCTCAACCCTCAACCCTCAACCCTCAACCCTAAACCCTAAACCCTAAACCCTAACCCCTAAACCCTAATAAATGGGGTTAGAAGTACCCATGAACCTCCAAGCAGAGGTCGCAGACCGGGCCCTGGCCAAGCAGGGTAGGCGGCGTCCAAAAGCCCAGAACCCCAAAACTCACTTAAAGTCAGTTAAAATACCTTAAAACTTAAGTTAATTCATATACTTCATTTAATTTAAAATTCGTTAAACTGCCTTCAACTTAAGTCAATTCATATAGTTAATTTAATTTATAGGAACCCTCCCCGCCCCCCTCCTCTTCTTGGTATGTGTGCTCGGAGGGTCGCGCGCTGTGATTCTTTCGGAATTCTCAAAGCCCCAAGAAGGAACCCAGCACAACCCGATTTCTGATTCTGCCAGGTGGAAGATGGCAGTGGCAGGAGCCCGGGCTTCACAAGTCTTGCTCCTTTCCCTGAGGGTTCTTGGCCCTTACGGGCTTGGGGGTTGGCTTTGAGCCTTCTTTGTTGGTCTAGTCCTTTCTACTGGAACCCCGCCGGCTGCGCCATCAGCTGTTTGTCTTACCAGAGAGTCTCAGGGCTCCATCTTGCCGGTTGGATCTGAAGCAGGGGCCTAGTTCATCACACCGTCGGAGGCTCACTGATTGCATCCCTCCCGGATCCAGTCTGTCAAAACTTCCAGTCGCGCGCTCCAGACTCCCCCCCAATAACGCCCTCCCCACAAGCGCTTTTTAACCCGAAATCCAAACCGCTACCACACAAGCCTTACATCCATGTTGACTGCTTGTGAGTCGCAACCCGTGTTGACTGATCAGCTGCCGTAGCGGCGTCGCGAATATCGAGCGTGGCAGAAGCCTTCCCTGCCGCGTGCGAGTGTGAGAGCCGACGCCCCTAAACTACCCGAAATGATCCTTAGACTGTTTCGTAGGCGACACCCAACCCCTAAACCCTAAAGCGTCGCCCCTGCAGTGTACCCCAAACCCTAAACCCCACCCAGGAGTGTACGGCTCCCCCATCCTCAGCGACTTGCTTGGCTTGGGCGTGGCCTTGACCTCCCACGTCTGGCAGCACGGGGCCCTGAAGTCGGAGCTCTCCAAGCAGCGGCCCGGTTGCAGAGTTTGTTTAGGGTTTAGGGTTTAGGGTTCAGGGTTTAGGGTTTAGGGTTTAGGGTTTAGGGTTTAGGGTTTAGGGTTTATTTCCCTTCAACTTTTGGCAACTAGAGCCACCAACACCTCAAAATCGGTTAAAAGGCTCAGCCCCAAGCAGCAGCGGGTAGAGCTTAACATCAAAGCCCAGCACCCACATGCAAATAACTAATTTCAGAAGGTTTGAAATCGAGTTTGACCGCCGGTTTGAAAAGTGCTTGACATCGATTTGGGAGATGCTACTAATTGCCTCGTCCGCGCATGCCAGTGTGAGCGTCAAAGCCCTAAACCCTCAATATTTACGGAATATTTGGGCACCCAAAAAACTAACAAGGGACCATGATTTTGAGAAATGACCCTTTGAAAGCCCGACCTGGGCTCGACAGAGACAAGCCGCCTGGAAAGACGTGGGCTCGAGCTTCAGCAACCCTAAATCCTAAACCCTAAACCCTAAACCCTAAACCCTAAACCCTAAACCCTAAACCCTAAATCTCAGCCATCCCCAACGTAATCCACGAATCCCCCCCCCCCCCCCCCCTTGAGATGCTTCGGGGTGCTAAACCCAAGACTCGGCTCTAAGAGCCCTGCAAGGGTTTAGGGTTTAGGGTTTGGGGTTTAGGGTTTAGGGTTTGGGGTTTAGGGTTTAGGGTTTGGGGTTTGGGGTTTAGGGTTTAGGGTTTAGGGTTTTTGTTGGGCATTTAGGGCAATCTAAGCCCTTTAGGGCAACTCGACAAAGCAAACACCCTGATAGAAACCCAAGCTCAACTCTGAGGAACCGGATCGCAGCCGGCTCGCTGGTTGTGGGAGTGGTCCTCTCTGTGGCCGTGTCCCTGGGGTGCATAAGCGGACAGATTTTGAAACCAGTTGGCCCCTTGGGCTTCTGTTCTAAACCCTAAACCCTAAACCCTAAACCCTAAACCCTAAACCCTAAACCCTAAACCCTAAACCCTAAACCCTAAACCCCGAAAACCCTAAACCCCGAAAACCCTAAACCCCGAAAACCCTAAACCCCGAAAACCCAAAACCCCGAAAACCCCGAAAACCCCAAACCCTAAACCCTAAACGCGCAAGCCCCGAGGAGGTGCGAATCTTCACTCCGGCATAATCCAATGCTGCCACCCCCCTCGTGCCAGGAAAGCCGTCGTCCAAGCCGAGAATGGCCGGTCAAAAAGATCAAACGGCTACCAAGCAGTTTCGTCTTCCGCAAAGTCGTCACATGAAGTTGATGGTGCGGGTGGAGCAACACATGCAGCACCGTCAGCTGTTGCGTGCACAGTTGCCAGCGGAGGCAGTGCAGCGGCGTCGTCATCATCAGCCTCCACATGCACCAACGGCACCAGTCAAGCAGTCTCGTCTTCCGTAACTTCGTCACATGGCGTTGATGGTGTGGGCCAAGCAGCACACGCAGCACCGTCAGCTATTGCGTGCACAGTTGCCAGCGGAGGCAGTGCAGCGGCGTCGTCATCATCATCCTCCACATGCACCAACGGCACCAGTCAAGCCGTGATCCTTGCAACGCCGGTGTATATTCGGAGCTGTCCGGAGCTGATGGCGCTGGAGTTGGAGAGCAGCCTCATCCTGGTTTCGCGTGCAGTATTTCAGGAGATCGTTGAAGAGTGGAAAAGGATGAAGAAGGCGTCGCAAAGGCGACCTGAAACGAAGTGAGGCGGAGCGCGTGTTCAAGCCTCCCAAGGACCAGGCAAAGCAGGCAGTGTGGTGCCATGGCATCTCCTGAAAAAGCACTAGGAAAACCACAAGACGCACGAAAAGTGTTGCTAATGCACACATATAGATGGGAGAAGTGCTTGACAAATCACGAGATCGGGACTGTTTTTCGTACTGCGTCGAGTTGGATCTCCTTCCAGTTCTTGCCGAAGTTGTGCCTAAAATGTAAGCGTCTGTAAGGTGTTGTGTATCTCGGTCACGCCAGGAGCCAATGTCGGCATACTTCATGGTGCTGTGGACATTGACGATCAACAAAAAAACTGTCTTGGGCATTTTCCAAGCTCTTTCCAGTCGCGTGTAAGGTGAGTGCCAGGGTGATAAACGCGCAATCATGAGCCGTGTGTTGCTTCTCTTGCTTTTTATTGTGTGCGCCGCGCCGTGGACAGCCACAGAAGCGCGCGAGTCTTTAGAGAGGGAACTGGGCATGCGCTCTCAGCGCCTTGATGCTCTTCAGGACAAAGTGCAGGAACACGCTAATGTCCATGCTCAGACGGCCCAGCAGCTTCAGGGCCTGGAGGACCTTACATGTAACATGGTCGCGCAGGATAAGCTCCCGGGAGCTTGAGGCCCAGGTGAAGGAACTTCAATACCTTGAGCAACGCGTGAAGGAGATGCAAAGCCAGGTCCGAGCATCCCTAAACCACCCCCGTATGCCTAGGGCCTCGGTGGATGTGAAAGATGCTGAGTTGGACCTCCAGATTGTTGTGGGTGGCTGGAAGGAAGCTCCCAGGTGGGCCGCGGAGAAAGAGACTCGCTCTCTTTTCCACGAATGTGGAATTCATGACGACATCAAGGACCTCTGGGCTCCTGGGGCTAGGACAAACTTTGTGAGGGTGTCCCTCAAGTTCCCTCCCCACTGTACCTTTCTCCCTGCCAAGAGGCAGTTTCAAGTTAGGGCCCGTGAGAGACTTAAGCAGGATAAATGGACCAGCTCTATTCAGGGAAGCGAAGGGGGTTTCTTGTGGATTTCCAGGCATAGGAGTGTGGCTGAAAGGCATAAGATTCGGGTCATTCTCCAATGCAAAGACTTTGCGGAGGCGTGCAGGAGCCGATTTCCTGATAAGGCTCTTCCCCTGGCTGGAGTTTGACTGGCGGGGTCGAGTGTACGTTGGAAAGGCCCAACTCCTTGTGGCGCCTGATGACGTTTTCTTCTGGGAGAGTTTATGCCTTTGTCTTCTTGTACCTCTCATGTCATGTTTCGGTGCTCGTCCTGCAGCAGGCCTCCGCGAGGGATTCAGGGCATCTTTTCGGGGAGGGCATCAGGGCTGCGTTGCGCTGGTTGGTTTGTTACGGGGTTTTGAGCCTCTACCCTAAAAGCCCTGAACTTCACCCTCAACTCCTACTGCAGCTCTAGGGCCCTCCCCATATCGTCCGCAATTTCAACCTAAACTTGGGCTAGAGTACCGTCTGACCTTTTCCCCGTAAACGCTTGCGAAACGGGTGGGAAAAAAACCCCTAAACCCCAAACCCTAAACCCCGAAAACCCTAAACCCTAAACCCCGAAAACCCTAAACCTGAAACCCTAAGCCCCGAAAACCCTAAACCTCCAACCCAAGGTTCGCAGTCTTTCGGTTTCGCTGCCCACGCTCCTTCGCATGGGTGCCTCGGACCGAAGGGCCCTTCTCTAAGCATATTGTATAACGGGTTTAGGGTTTAAAGTTTAGGGTTTAGGGTTTGAGTGTTTGAGGGAATGAGGGCCCTATATGATTTCTAAAAGGGTATATATAGGGCCCTCATTCATCCTCGTTCCCTCATTCCCTACTAAGAGCCAGGGGGATTCTTAGTAGTAGAGTAGGTAACCTTTAACCTTGTTTGGGGCAAGGTCCCCCTTTAGTTCCCCCAGGATACTGGAAACTAAGTATTTGCTTAAGAAGCCCCCCAAAGTGTAAAATAATGATCCCTATTTTGCCCTTGGCAACGATAAGAATCCCTGTATTGGTCTTATAGGGAAGAGTTTTTTCATAACTCTTTCTTTTGGGGGTTCTTCGCAAACAGTAGTTCCTGGTCTTGGCGTCGTCTCTACATCGGGATGTGCTGTGCAGAGCATGTGATGCGTGGGGTGGTGTCGTCGCAGGGTTTGTCTGGACCACTGCCTTGTCAAGCAGCAGTTGTGCAAGCCAGTTGTTGATTTCAGGTCTTGCTGGGCCACTACGCGATCTTCATGGCCGCTGCCTTGCACAATGGGTAGCATCGCATGTGCCAGCTTGAGCAGCACCACTGTCCCCTGTTGTGGAATGTTGAATCCAAACACCGAGGGGCTTTCGATCAGCTGCGAGTTGGGATACGTGCCTGACATTTCTTAGTCGACGCATGGTGAATTTGGGTTCCAAGACAGCCCCCCCATCTCTAAGCCTCGAAGGGGTTTGGAGATCGGGTGCTGACGGCCCATCCAGTGAAGTAGCTCAGCTGCCATTGACGTTAAGGCGAGGCGCGTTTTCCCGCAGCCATTGCCTTGGTAGGTTTTGAAAGATCCCTCCCCAAGCCTCTGAAGAGAGCTTGATGCAGTGCAATGGTAGTGACCAGCGCGGTGTGCACGTCTTTGCAGCAAAGAAGCGCTGGTCGTGTAGGCTCTACCTTCTGCAGCGTGAGCTTGCAAGCTGTTGCAGGCCACGCTATGCTCGCAAGCGGAGCTTTGGGACAAGATGGATCGGGACTGCGCTCGGCCCATCAACGGCAGCTGCATTCCACATGTCCTTTTTCTGGTTGTTTGGGATGTTCACCATTATACTAACAGTCCTGTTTTTGATTATAGTACACCCAATTACAATCCCTTTCAAGGACTGTTAGTATAACGGGGAACATCCCAAGTGATGCTTGCTCATGGCGCAAGCCAAACCGCCGCCTGCGCCGTAGCAGCATGTATGGCTCAATCATGCCCCGGCCAGAAGCTGAACATCTGCGCTGGCCGGAGATGAGATGAAGAGAAATACCTTAAGACTTCCTCCCGTGCCCAATGCCCCCAAAAGAACAGGGGATGAATTTGCTCTTCGCTTGCATTGACAAATGCTTCATCTTACAGTGTGTGCTCCTCATATGTCTCCTGCGCCTCCTTGCGGAGTGCATCTGCCGAGGCGATGGAGTGCGAGAAGTGGGAGGAGGCATCGGCGTCCTGCCTACCATCTGAGTTCGGGATTTTGCATGCAATTGTGCAGGGCAAAGGTGCAATGCTTTCATATCCTAGAAGTCCTTGACATCTGAGGATGAAGATGATGACTACCCATACAAGGACTGGGTCGCCAGCCTGGCAAGGAGAACACTCCAACCCCCGATTAGCAGCGCTCGGGATCTGGCCTCCCGTACTTGGCTGACGGAGAAGGAGGAGATACAGAAGCTGCAGTGGCAGGAAAGCTTCCGAAAGGAACGGCCTTTCCTGCCCGCCGTGACGATGCCGGCTTCCACGGCGCAGCCACAGGGAATGCATCTACTTGGCGCCAGCCGAAGGCTGAAGCAGCAGAAGGTGGTCACCCGGCATGGTGGCCAGCGATGGCGCTTCGTGGGCAAGGCCAGGTGCATGGAGGCCCAGGCCGTGAAGGCGGAGGGCTCAGCTGAGACCGACGAGTACGTGCCGGAGGGCTGGGGCAACTTGAAGGACTACGTCCATGGGGTCTGGAGGTTGTCCTTGAGTAATTGTTTTTGTGGAACTGTTTTTGTTTCCTTGCCTCCACCTAGCACTTTGCAACCCAACTTAAAGGCCCCTCTCAGAAGCCTACGTACAGCAAGTAAGGGGCGCACCTACTTTTTGAAAGGTCCAGACGACCCAAGGTCAAAATTGGGCCCGGCAGCCTCTTCAGCCACCCCTGGGACCGGCCCACTCCCTCGGGGATTCATCCGAACACACCCAGGGTGAGGAAGCAGTTCGCTCGCCACACTCTTTACTGATAAGGGCGCTGAGGTATTTTGCTGCGAGGTTTAGGGCCAGCCGCTTATGAATTTGCCCAGAGAGCCCATGCGGTTCCTGTAGTAGGTCAGAAGTCTGCTTCCCAGGCAGACTTCATGTCTTCCCAGCTTTAGAAGCTTCGGCTCCAGATGAGCCCCTGACTCACGACCTTTCCTGTGACGGAATCAGGCCTACATTACATGTGGGTTTACAAAAATAGGAGACTCCCCAAGATAGATCCCCAAGTAATAGAATCCTTTCATAACAAGGACCCCAAGAAGGTACCCCTAGTTTCGGAAACCCCCATGTCCATCCTTGGTCCTTGACCCGAAAGGGGACGGCTTTCAGAACCCCCAAGCCCAGCAAAGTCCCAGCCCAAACCCGAAGAACATCCTGACTTTCACTCTGGCCGCGTTTAGACCCCGAAATCTGCCCAGGTTGTCGCATGAGCCCTCCACCTCTCTCCCTAAACCCTAAAGCCAAACCCTAAAACCCCAAACCCTAAACCCTAAACCCTAAACCCTAAACCCTAAACCCTAAACCCTAACCCTAAACCCTAAACCCTAAACCCTAAACCCTAAACCCTAAAGCTGCAAAGTTCCTCAGGGGCTCTGTCGTGAAACGAGAGGCGCCAGGAAGCTGCAAGTGAAGGCCGGCGAGCGCCGAAGGCGTGCGCCAAAGGCCAAGGCATCCAGAGAATTTCAGGTTCAGGCTTCGAGGGTTGTAGGAGGGACTGAGTATATATATATATATATATATAGATATAACTTATATGTATATACATATATATGTATATATATATGTACATATATATATATACATATATAGAGTAGAAGGTAATACAAATAATCATCATCGTCATCGCCAAAAAAAAAGAAACACATGCAACAACACGCAAAAAGTAACAACCATGTGTGTATATACATATATACACACACACACACACATATATATATATGTACATACATATTTGTATGTGTATAGACACACACACATGTATACTTTTATATGTACTGGCTTATCAATGACAGGGGCGAACCTGTGGCTCGAGGGATGCATGGGTTTGCATTTTGCGCCTTCGTTTGTCGAGCGAAGTTCGGCAGGAGGGCGCTTAGATGCTTAGATTCGATTACTAGCTACGGGAGGAAAGACGAGATGTTAAGATCCGTCTAGCAGAAAGGCCGCGACGCTGTAGAGTGAGCACTGCTGCAGAGTGCGCGAGCATCTGGAACTACGTGCCTTGAAGACAAGCTTGTCTGCAAGCAGCTCAGGGGTAACGAACATCTCACGCCTGAGCCGTTTTCTCCAGTTGGTCCGACTTGGACTACCTCGTAGCATGGAATTGAGCCTGCAGGAGATCTGCCGAGAGTACACGAGCGAGTCCTACGACGCCGCGGCCTGTGTGCAGTGTTCGGGCCATTCTTTGATTGCTAGAACCTCCTTAAATGTGGCAAACATTGGCTTGCGTTTGCAAGGTGGTGCAGTGCAGCAGCCATCATTTCGCCCAGGAGGCTTCGTGGAGGGGTCTGAGGAAATTCCTTCTCAAAGTCGCAGTACAAAAGCCTGTCGGAGGGACCCTTGTAGAGAATTCAGAAGGAGATCAGAAAGAGAGCTCGAGGAATCAGATCCCAGTATGCTTTGCCTCCGTGCGCTGCATGTGAGACAATTTAGGGTTTAGGGTTTGGCTTACGTCGCATTTCTAGGGTCTTCTCTGCGAAGTTGTAGTCTGGCTGTTGCTGCATTTCGCACACTTCTGACTGTCCCGCTTACACTTTCACGTGGGTAGCCACGAGAGCTGTCCCTGGCAGTCTTGACGTTTCGAATGCCTGAGAGAGAGAGAGGGTTAGGGCGCAAAGCACTTGGAGTCACTGGCAGTATTCAGTTCTGCAATTGGTTCCTTGGCTGTTTCCCTTCTCGATGGTCTCAGTCGATGGACGAGCATCGCTTATTTGGATTGATGAGTGTGAGGGCTTTCAATAGTGGGACCTTGAAGATGTCAGCTTCGAGGGCCTAGGGCTTTCAATAGTGGGACCTTGAAGATGTCAGCTTCGAGGGCCTCTGGACCTTTGTGACTCGAGTTCGTATGCAGAGTGATGCTTGGGTGTTCATGATCCATGTTTCCACGGAAATGTACGAGGCGCACGCAGTTATGTGGGGTCGGTTGGCTGAGGACTGTATGTAAAACTTTCACCAAATTGTGCTACTTGACATTTTGGATGACGTCACTATGGAACAGATGACGCAGTTGGCCTTGCAGTCACGAGAACTGTGAAGCTGGTTGTGTGAGCCTGACTTTCCCGGCAGCTGTGCAGACCTGGTTGTAAAAGGGTTTAGGGTTTAGGGTTTAGGGCGCGCAAGAATCTTGGACAGCAGCTTGCTGCAGCATGCAAAGTGGACCAGCATTTGCCCCCTGGTTCAGAGCAGGGCCCGAACTTTGAGGGGGAGCATATAGGGTACCTCATTCCCTCATTCCCTACTTAGAACCAGCCAGGAACAGTAGCCCTAAACCCTAAACCCTAAGCCAGCATTCCAGGTGGTCTGGTTCCTGCTGAACAGGACCATCCCCGACGAGGCAGTGGTGGTTAGCAGTCCGGCGAGGGTACCGAGACGTAGAAGCTTACATGAACAGCAATAAGCAAGGAATATATAGAACTACATACAAAATAAACTAGCAGAACTATAAACAAACAAGTAGATGCATAAACACATAAACAGACAAACATATATATATATATATACACATGCATACATACATACATACATACATACCCATATATATATATATATATATAGATAGGTATAGCTATACATATATGTATTTATACATATACATACGTACATACATACATATTTGTTTATGTATATGTATATGTATATGTATATGTATATGTATATGTATATGTATATGTATATGTATATGTATATGTATATGTTTATGTATATGTATATGTTTATGTATATGTATATGTATATGTATATGTATATGTATATGTATATGTATATGTATATGTATATGTATATGTATATGTATATGTTTCTGCATATGTATATGTATATGTATATGTATATGCATATGCATATGTATATGCATATGCGTATGCATATGTATAAGTATATGTACATGTGTATGTATATGTATATGTATATTGTGAGCTGACATGAGTGCATATGCATCTTCTGCTCTGTGATGCATTAGGACTCGGCAGACCACCTTGTAGTTTTCCTTTGCATGTAGAGTTTTGCAATTCGTAACAATGCCAATATTTTGGCTCAAGTACCGAGCTTGTGCCTTTGAGCACGGTAGAGTCGTACAGTAGCTCCTAGGTTGCTGTGCGGTCCGACCGGACGCACTCAGGCGTAGCTGCACAAGTGCTTGGACTCGCGAAGTCGTAAAACAGCGTGACCGGGCTGTGATTGCATTGGCTTAGTGCAAGTCCAGTGCTGGTCGACTTCACAATTGGGGGCTGTTCTGGGAAACGTACAGCTCTTGTGCCTACGGCCCGAGTGGGCAAGCATTGCTTTGCTTGTCTGTCGCGGTCCGTGACCTGGACGCGTGGACTGTGTGCCACGCTTGCGGCCTGTTAACCAAGGCGCGGCGCTTCGCGTGCCACGCCTGCGGCCTGCTAACCAAGGCGCGGCTTTTCGCCTTGTGTTGCGGCAATGTCCGCAGAGGTTGCAGGTCAGGCTGAGGGCGTCACCCTCCTCGAAGCTATCGAGGGTGGAGACGTTCCCTATCCCGAGCGGATGGGCTACGTCGCTTGGCTTAAGTGGCGTAGGGAGACTGGCAGCCGTCCGTTGTCCAAGCGGGATGGGGTCAGCACTACGCCAGAGCAAGAGGCGGCTCTCTGGCGGAAAGTCATGAAGTTCCTCCATGACGCAGAAGAGGAGGACGAGGATGAAGAGGAAGAAGAAGAGGACTCCGAGCTAGTCCCTGAGGCCTCGGGCGCTGGAGGCGACAGTCCGCCGCGGGTGGACGTCAGCGCCGCGGCTAGGGAGCTGGCCGTGGTCCCTACCGGTGCTGCCTATGTCCCTGCTACGGCACCAGGGTCCCGCCCGGCGGGACCGTCCGGTCCGCCGTCGACAGCAGGTTCAGTGCCAGGCACCGCAGAGGGCTTGCAGGCGGAGCTGCGCGCGATTTTCCGTCCAGACCAAGAACCGGTCGCGGACTACCTGACGCGCGTTTCGCGGATTGTCCTCGCGCTGAAAGCGCATGGAGTCACGGTGAGCTCCCGTGACCTTGACGCCTTAAGCACCAAAGCCACCCTCCTTGCGGATGAGTTCTCCAAGATAGGCGGGGACTGGCATCCTACGAAGATGGTCCGTCGGCTGCGGACCAGGTTCTCGGTCGCGGCTTTGCGCGGTGGCGAGGACCCCGAAGACGCAGAGGAGATTCAGCGCGAAATCCAATGCATCGGGGAGCTTATCCTCGCGTTAGGGGGAAAAGAAAGCTCGAGCCAAGAGAAGGTTTGGAGCTCCCCGTCCGATGTGCCAGTTGAAGCCATGGGGCCGCGTTCCCCAGGGCTCCCACAGCCTGCGACTGCAAGTGGGTTGGGGGAAGGATTGGACCGTGGAGGTTTGCACACTGCTGAGGTTGCAGGTGGTCCTTCCGCGGCCCGTGTCCTGGGCGCGACGGACGGCGATTCGCCTTTGCGCGCGAAGCTTGCTGCTCTAGAGATGGAGATAGAAGCCCTGAAGCGAGGTTCAGACGGCGGAGGTTCGCAGACCGGGTCCCAACACCCGGCGGGCGATCTCGCCGCCGCACTCGCCGCCCAAACTGAGGCGCTGAAAGAAGCGTTAGCGCAGAGGGGCGGGCAAAGCTCCATAACTACGGTCAAAACTGACCTCACGTGGCCGACGCTGACCGACGACAAGTCGGACGCGCGAGACGTTGTCCTGTTCTACGAGGAGTTCGAGGACGTCTGCGCGTTGGCCAACAACTGTCGCGGTATGAGTGCGCGCGAAAAGCTGTTAGCGCTACGCGGGCGCTGCTGCGGCTCGCGCA